ATTATCTAATTTCTAAACATACGTATATGATACCATGGTGGTATATCACAAGATATTGTTGGATTTATGATAATCTAACAATGGGTCAATTCCCTGTAATTATACGAAACGGAAAATAATAGATTTTTAATTTGTTGTTGTTGCTGTGTTATGTGTTTCATTTTAAACTGGGTTTCAATTTATTAATGAGGCTAAGTTGCATTTACGATTCGATAGTAATAGTTAGACGAACATACAAGAGAAATGATATAATAATTAGAACCAAATCCGATATTCTTTTTTCTTCCATATGCTTGTTTTGCTGTGGCCTGTAAGGGTTAATTTAGCACTTTATAATAATTTGGATTTTGGATAAATACTAAAATCCATTGTTATTTTATCCGTCTTTGTTTATAGCCATTAAATTCAAAAGCACAAATATTTTCAATCAACTTTAGGATAGAAGATTTGCGCTTTTATCCGAAAAATAAGATTCTAAGCATTATTAGTACAAATGTCCATTTTTGCTTTCATTTTTTGTCACAAATTTGCAAAGTACATGTCAATTAAATTTAGACAACATAAAATTGCACCCATTTATATGCATATAATAGAGAAATAACATATGAAACCGACTCAACAGTCTCCTCCACGCATAGATCAAGCAAGTATTAATGTTCAACATGACTTTAATCCCACCATCTTACATCAAAATACTATTTTGAAAAATGAAAATGATTACTCATTATCAATGTTAAATAGTGATGTAGAGAAGCGTACCAGTGGGAATGATAAACGAGAAAACGAGATACTCTCTCGTAAAACACGCAAAACTCAACAATATCTTATTTCATATTCAAAATCAACTGACCATAACAAAGCCTAAGATCTTTTTAAATAAAGTCATCAAATAATACCCTAGCTTATTCCCTAAACTATTAATTATTAAATAATATTAAATGCTATAATAATAATAATAATAATTAGTCTGCACCATTCTCCCCCGGTAAATCCTACCCGTTCCCGTTGGAGTCGTCCCATGACAAGAATACCCTGTCATTTCCCTCGATCGAACACGAAGGTCGAAGGTCTTCCAACAACTTCGAAGGTAAACATAATCTCGGTCAAGGACTCAATTGCTGCAAAGTCACATGTACACGCCACCCTACGCAAAGCCCACACAACCGAATTAACACAAAACAGACCACATCGTGCGCCGCGCATAAATCCATAACTACGGCCAAGCATCCGGGCGTTGGGAGACTTCGAGAACAACAATCGAATAATGGCCCACCAGTTATGGAGTCTCGGCTTCGGCTCCGAAAAATCATCTTTGGCCAAAATACTCAAAAAATCGGGTGTGAAAGACGGTTTCCCATTTGAAGACTCAATTGTGGCGACGTCCCACGCGGGACCCATATTACCGCCAAATATGTCTTCGTCACGGAGGCTCCGTATAAAAAATGGGCGGACCGTCGTACATTGGCCCGTCAACATGATCCTCGTCGAGGTCACAAATGTCAGCGCGAAACGGGACCACCCATTGACCAAATTCGCGGCCAAAATCCCTCTGCACAAGCCCAATTTCCGCAGCTACTTCACAGGCCCAAAAACCGCTTTTGGGCTGCTTTTCCTGAGGCCAAAATTATTATCGAACTCGCCTTCTTCACACGCCCAAAATCCTTGTTCAAATCTCCTAGCCCCTTCCCTTTGTACCTTCTGTACTAGATCTTCGTTCAATCCAAAAAATTGAGCACCGCTGTACCCGGTCTCGGTCTTGCTGCCTCGCAACGCATCGCGGCCGCCGTCACCGGCGAAACCTACGGGAGCGCGTCGTCGATCGCAAAAACCAGACCCGCCGAAAACCACCTCTGTTCAGGGTTGGCGCCGTCGAGCCTCGCGGCCCCCGCTGTCGCCAAAACCGGTCGCTTTATGCCTCCAATCGCGCTCTCCGGCCGTGGCAAAACCCACATCGGCACAGCACGGCTCGCGGCCAAGGAAGTCGCCGCCGTCGACAGCGGTGCGACGCCCCTCCTGCGGCCACCGTCGCGCGCCCCCTTCGCCTTCAGTAGCCCAACGGAAATCACCGTCAAGGGCTCTGCTCGACCCTCTGCCTGCAGCAATTTGCCGGAAATTTCCGTCTAGGGTTGCGCGATTGGGTGAAAATTGGTAAACAAAACACTCCTTAGTCCATGGTTGGATGCGAAATCGGACCGCACCTAGGGTTTTCTCGTCGTCGCGGTCGCCTCCATGTACGAAACTACCTCCAGCCCGCTGCTGCTCGCGAACTCTGGGCTGACCTGTGGTTTCGTCTCCTCGCCATGGTGGTCGATCTGCCAACGGGTTAGCCGACCAGGTAAAGTCACCATCCTTGATGCCGTTCAGAGGTGGCGGGGACCGCTGCCGGGGGGTCCCGACATGGCTGCGTCCCCCACAGCCGCCTCTGTCTCCCCCACAAAAGCCACGGCCCACAGCCCCATCGCAGTTCTTCTGCAATTCCGAAACAATCACGTTGTTAAGCGTCAAATGCACATCCTCGATCCCCGTCGAAAGATCGACAAACCAATCCGTGAAACGCACGTCCAATTGTTCAATCGATAGTCGATCTGTTGAAACCGATTGTTGAAGATTGCGTTACGTCGTTCGTTTGCGGCATCTTCTCGTCCCGGCGATATCGCGAATCGTACTGACTGCTGATACCAAGTGATGTAGGGAAGCGTACGAGTAGGAAAGATAAACGAGAAAACGAGATACTCTCTCGTAAAACACACAAAACTCAACAATATCTTATTTCATATTCAAAATCAACTGACCATAACAAAGCCTAAGATCCCTTTAAATAAAGCCATCAAATAATACCCTAACTTATTCCCTAAGCTACTAATTATTAAATAATATTAAATGTTGTTATCATAATAATAATAATAATAATAATAATAATAATAATTAGTCTGTACCAAATAGTTACAATAATGTTTTTATATATATATATAGTTTTGTTGATGANATGGATTGACTATATTATATTGGGTAGATTCATAAATGTATCAAATGAATTGAAAAATATTAGAATATCACTTGTGAGTTGTCTCTATAGGGTAAATAAGTCTAGTTTATAAGTCACTAATTAGTGGGCTATTCCTCCAATCACCAATTAGTTTTGGAATGGAATCTCATCTAGGCTCACACTCTTATGGTGCGTTTCACCTATTGGGACCGCACTCTTTTCTCCCGATTATATAAATATAATAAAAAGTATTAACAAAATCAGGACAATGAAATTGACTTGTATTATTTTTTATTAGAATGTGCTTTTTTGATAATAGTATATTTATTTTATGTATCTGTTACTTTAATATTTGATGTAATAAATATTTCCGTCCTTTCATAATATAGACATCAATGATGAATATATACGTATAAAATAAAAAAAGGTTCTTATTATGTAGTAGTATTACGTAACATTTATTATTGATGTTTTATCACGTGATAAAAAATTATTTCAACATAAAAATAATTATAAGTTTTGCGTTGCTAATAACTATCGGTTTTCAAAATTTATATATCCATCACAATTTAACTCTAAAAATGTCCCTTACACAGAAATTTACCAATTAATCTGTCCGTGTTATATTTTCTTAAGATATATTCTTATGAAAATATTTATTGGGTTAGATGAACAAAACACTAATTGCTATATATTTTCATACAAGAATAACAATTAATCACATACGTCTTTTCTGACAATCAATCAATTTTAATTATTATTTTATTATTTGTAAAATTAATTTTAATCTTTACATTATCTCACATTTATTTATTATTTCAAAATATTTTATTAAAAAGAATATAGTCTGCTTTTTTTTTTCTTTGCTATTTTTCGACGAGACCAAAAATTATATCTCCCCAGTCCCTATATGTTGGATGTTATTTTTGAAAAATAGGTGAGATGGCTGATATTGATTTTGTGCAATTGGGCTGCAACACTGCCACGTGCAACATGAATTGGACCAAATCAATACGCTACATTTGCCATCCAATCACAGAGCAATAATCTAAGGGCATGAAGGCCCTTAATTTATTTAATTTTATTGAAAAAGTCCATATTGATTATAATTTATAACATATAGTAAATATCGTTTATTCAAATTTAAATTATACTTAATTGCAGTTAGTATCATATACAGTTTAGAACATTAATGTAGTTTTTTTGTTATATATTTAACCAACGCACACTCATATATGTAACTAGTATTAATCATGTGCACATGCACAGGTTAATAAAAATAAATAAATATTATATATAAAAATCACAAAACAAAATTTTCCTTAATAGCATGTATCACATTTATAATCAAATTACATTAAAAACTCTTAGTCGAATTTTTATAATGTAGAATTTACCATATACTAAATGACTACTATTATATGAATATAATAAATAACCTAATTTATACCATTTGAATATTGTATTAATAATAAACATAAAGTATTACCAAAGTAAAAAATAATAAATTTAAACTGGACAACGTAAATCTTATATACCATATAAATTTATCTTTCTTCAGAGAATTATCGGACAAATGATATACATACTATATTTGTATAATATCAGATGAAAGAATATATATAGTTACATTGGAAAGATAAAATTCAAATGTTATGTAATTGTAAAATCAAATGAAAGAATGTGTTACAATATTGTAATGAGTACATAAAAAATATAGTTTTACTTAACAAACTAACAAAGAGTGCAATTATATTAATTTTTAAGACATGACCGTTACAACTTTTATTAAATAATAGAATATTAACTACAACAATACAAATAAAATGATATGTGAAACATATCAAAAATAACTTAAAAAATGGGCGGGAAAAGTAGGCTATCCGCATTAATTGGATAGCCTACAATTATATCTATATATATATAATTACTAGCTAATAGAATTTAATAAAACCTATTTAATTTTACCTATGTGGCAATTTAACAAATTTTCCTCCAAAAACCGTTACATTTTGATGTATTTAATCTTTCATTTAATCATTAAATAATTAATACTCATAACTTCAAAATTGCAAAAATCATTTGAAACTTTTGATTAATGACAGTTGACCATATAATATGTTGACCGTATAATGTGATTAGATGTTATTATTGTTGTTACATTTAATTTTTTTTTTGAAAATAAAAAATATATTTGAAATTCCTAAATAAATAATAAATAATTCACAAATAAAAGACGTACCAAAATATACATTACATCCAATCATATAAACGCAATTTAAAAAAAAAAAATATTCCAACTATTTTAATTGTAAATTTAGTCTGCAAAAAAGTGAAAGAAAAATAATTAATCATTATATGTACAGACTCACAATAATTTATTTATATCTGTGCAAATGCACAGGTCGAATACTAGTATATATAGATATGCCATACGTAAGAGAGTAACACACGCACACATATATGAATTGTATGATTTGTTGTAAAATTACTATGCAACTACCATGAAATGCAAACACTATAGAGGATTTTAATCCCATCATTTACTCCTTATGTCATGATTTCCATTATGGTTTGATGCATTGGATCAATCTCATTACAATAAATGATAGAGAACAAAATATTTCTATCTCCATTAAAATTGTTAACGTGGAGATGAGCAGGGCCGTCTCCAGAAATTTGGAGGCCTCAGACAAGTTTGTCTTTTTCTAATTTCCTGATTTGAGTTTGCGTGGTAATTAGGTTATTTGCAGATAGAATCATAGAAGAAAAGAAAACCTAATTAAAAAAGACTATTAAATAAATAAATAATTAAAAAAAATATTTTTTCTTGTTTTTCTAGTCCTTGGAACTGATAAATTACCCATGAGTTACAAAAGTCTTTAATAATTTATATTCAAGCAGTCATGAGGACAATGGGGAGAAAAAAATAAAAACCATATCACTGCAAACAAATATTTATTCTCACATAATTGTTCTAACCGAACATCATAAGAAAACAAATGAAATATTTAGGGCCTCAAATTTCCACACAAAGTACATATTTTACCATTAGCCTATTTATTAATTAGCCCCTTCATTGTATAATGGGCCAAGTCTATATTTAGCCATGCGTCACTTCATATGTGCAAATAGGTCAAACTCATCACAAATACATAATATTGAAAAAAAAATGGGGCCTCAAATATATGGGGAGGCCCTAGGCATGGGCCTAGGCTGCCTCCCCAAAAAGCCGGCCCTGGAGATGAGCATAAGTTATGGTACTCGAGTTCATGTTCGAACATTTATCAAGTTATAGATGTTAAATTAACGAGTTGAAAGATGAACAAAAATTCTTTCACCTCCCAATTAAATTGTAAATGAGTTGAGCGAAACTTTTAACTCTTGACACTCCTTATGAAGTCGAGCTGTTAAATTAACGAGATCAAATCATCTAGAGCTCAGACTCTGACCGTTAATGAGCTAGAATGAGTTAAATTATACAAAAAGTTTAGTAAATTACGTGAAAAATCCTATGTTTCAAGCCTAACGATCCATGAGCACAACTCGATAATTGAACCAGACCTAAATGAGGCAAGTTGAATTCAAGCCCGAGCTCGACTGCTTTCATCTAACAATCAAATCAATCTTAATTATTTTTCTCCTACTTTACATCAAATCAAATTTTAATTATTTTATTTAAATATTATTTTAATATATCACTAATAACTAATTATACCACATTTTTTTTTAAATTAACCATAATTAAAAAACAAACCAAATAAAAATTAATTCAATCCATAAAAAATCACCCCCTTCTTATCTAACAATCAAATCAATCTTAATTATTTTTCTCCTACTTTACATCAAATCAAATTTTAATTATTTTATTTAAATATTATTTTAATATATCTACTAATAACTAATTATACCACATTTTTTTTTAAATTAACCATAATTAAAAAACAAACCAAATAAAAATTACTTCAATCTATAAAAAATCACCCCCTTCTTATCTGAAATTGATCCAAACTCACAAAGAAACTAATTTTCACGCGTCACTCACACGCGCGGGCAGCATGGAAAAACCATGCGACTGCAAATCAATATATCTTTATCCCCGCCCATTGACTCTTTTGCTCAACGGTATGTGTGCGCGTTTTGTGTGTTTTCATTTTATACCCTTTTCATATTTTTCATTTTTCTGTTTTTTTTTCCTCTGTACGTGTCTTTTCTCTCTTCTGCTCACTCTCTCTCTCTCTCTAGAAAGTGTGTGGAGCCCAAAACTGGTCCTCTGCTTTGCTGGCTCGAAGCTCGCCATTGTTGGTTATTTTAATGGGGTTTTGTCTAAAGAGATGAGAGAGCCCAGAGTTTAGCTGCTCCCAATCACACACAGTAATATTTACATCAAAAGAGTATACCTTCTCTCTGTTTATCTGCCTTTTCTCTCTCCTCTAGCTTTCTCTTTGTATATTGTTATTGCTATTTGCGATATTTCAATTTCCCCCTATTTTTTTTCCTTTCACCAATCACCTCATCGAAATCAACATCATCTTCTCGTTCAACCTGTTGCTCTCAAGGAAGAAAAAGCTTACATCAAGTGTTTCTTTATTTGGCTCCGTTTCGAATTGTTATTTCGATTTGCTGGATCCACAGATCTGAACCATTTTCGTTTTCAGATCTCCGTTTCCGCAATCAGCTCTGGAGGTAACTTCTGTGTCCGATACGTTGTGCCATTGACTGGAGAAATTTATGTAGTTGTTGAATTTGCTTGAGGGTTTTTTGTGATAAAAAAATTGAGAAGGGTTTTTAGGGGGTTTATCGCGCCCGCAGCCTTAATCTCCGTTTTTGGGAACTTGGGCCTTCTAGAATGTGAATTGGCTGACCAAACAGTTTTGAGAGGTAAAAAAAGGTGGGATTTTGACCCATTCTGTGTTTTGAAAGCCTCCCGAGAACCCCTTTTCCCTTATGTTGAATTTTATGGTTTTAACTGATATTTTTTGCCCCTCCCTGCGTCATCTTCACTGTTTTTGTTTTCTTTTTTGGGTTATTGGTCAAAGATCTGATTCACATTTGAAGTGCTTATTTCTTGTTGGTCTTGCTTTTAGTTTTGTAACGTTGTTTGTGGTTTAAACTCTTACTTTTGATGACTTTGGGTTGTGTTGCCAGCCGCCAATGAATAGAATTTGTTATTTGCAGGAGGATTAGATATACAGATTAACACGATTGAGTTCTATCAGCGTTGAAGGTGGTTAAATTGCGGGCTCGCTACATGTGGACAATTTGGAGGGTCTTTTGGATGAGATGAGGGATGTTATCTGGGTTGATGAACTTTTTGAGGGCCTGTTTTCGGCCAAGGGCAGATCGTTATGTTCACTCGGGTTCGGATGCCGGTGGTCGTCAGGATGGGCTTCTTTGGTATAAGGATACAGGACAACATTTCAATGGAGAGTTTTCTATGGCGGTAGTTCAAGCCAACAATTTACTTGAGGATCAGAGCCAACTAGAATCTGGTTGCCTGAGCTTGAATGATTCTGGGCCGTATGGCACTTTTGTGGGGATTTATGATGGCCATGGTGGTCCAGAGACCGCACGGTTTATTAACGAGCATCTGTTTCAACATCTGAAGAGTAAGTACCCTGGAAAGTTTAGCAGAATCTGGTGTTTCAATCAACTATGATTATTTATGTATTTTTTTTTGAAAAATAATTCTTGCTTTTTACTAATATGTTATTGAACTTAAAAATCAGAGTAACCGAGAATCTGGGTTTATTGTGTTTGCTAATTAGAGGTAAATGGAATTAATTACTTGAGAGTGTTAATAGGTTGTAAAAATCGTCCTGTTGTTTCCAGAAGTAAAATGGAAGCAAATTTAGTAATCTAGAGCTGAGCAGAGCCCTTTCTTTGAATTCTGATTATAATTAATTTATTCAGAATTACAGAGCCGTAAGCTAGGAGTTGGATTTGCGAAAAGCCACACACTTCAATGTAAAAACGACACTGCCCATAAACCCTGAGAGAATACTAATGTTCTTCAGCAGTTTTGCTTTATTGCCACAAATGCTTATTGTTACATTAAAGCAGGAAATTTGCTATTTTGCTGTTACTCCAATGCTAAATAACTTTGTCTTTGATGTTAATAGTTTTGCTTTATTGCCACAAATGCTTATTGTTACATTAAAGCAGGAAATTTGCTATTTTGCTGTTACTCCAATGCTAAGTAACTTTGTCTTTGATGTTAATAGTTTTCTAATGTTAAACTTGTTTGTTTGTTTGTTTGTTTTTTTTTTTTTTTTTTTTTTTTTTTTTTTTTTTNCAGTGGAGGTCATCAAGAAGGCTTTCCAAGCTACAGAAGATGGCTTTTTCTCGATTGTGAGCAGACAATGGCCTATGAAGCCGCAAATTGCAGCCGTTGGATCTTGCTGCCTTGTAGGAATTATCTGCGGTGGGACCCTTTATATCGCGAACCTTGGTGATTCACGCGCTGTTTTGGGGAGACTTGTTAAAGCGACGGGGGAAGTGCTCGCTGTTCAGCTCTCGGCAGAGCATAATGCGAGCATAGAGTCTGTGAGACAGGAGCTTCAGTCTCTACACCCTGATGACCCGCATATTGTAGTTCTAAAGCATAATGTGTGGCGTGTGAAAGGACTTATACAGGTTTGTTTATCTTATTTTTCTTTACCATTTTCTGTTACATTGTCATAATTGGGATTAGTATCGAAGACATCTGAAACAAGTGCTTACTAGGTTTAGACATGACTCGTTGTCTGTATTATTGAACTTTATGATGTTTTCCTTGTGGTAAAAGTTCCTACTCCTTTTATAAGTTTGATTGAGTCTGCAAAAGCCTATAAACTTTGCGTTATCAGAAATTGAGGCTGACACATTTGACTAAATGTGTACACATTTCTTGGTACAAGATCTGGGTTTTGTAGTTTGATCTAGTTTGGCTGGTTAAGTCCTCGGTTCTTTTGGTTCAACTTATTGCTAAAATGCCTTTTCGTTCCTTTTGTTTTTTCCTAAATATTTTATGTTATAGTTGTCCTGGGACAATGGATCATCACAGATTTTCAGCAGTATAATTGATGCTTAAGACAGTTAGACTGCATTTGTACTCTTCTAAATATCTTTATTTTTTAATGTCAATGTTCTAGTGGTATTCGCAGGCTAAACTCTAGTTGAATGTGACTTTGATTTTGTTACCCATTTTGAAGGTTACTTATTTTTCATTTTTTTTTACTAATTATGATGCCAAAAGAAGTAATCAATGTCAAGCTTCATATCATAACTGATCTTTGTACAACAAAGCTGTGGTGATATTAGGGATCCTGATTTGCGCCATTTGGTCTATCTTTTACCTCTGTAAGAAAGTTATTGCATTTGGGTCCCATCCATGTTGCCGTACGTAATATGTGTCTTATTTACAGATCTCGAGATCAATTGGAGACGTGTATCTGAAAAAGGCTGAATTCAACAGGGAGCCTTTATATCAGAGATTCAGACTTCGGGAACCTTTCAAAAGACCAATCTTAAGTGCAGAACCAGCGATTTTGGAGCACCAATTGCAGCCTCATGATCAGTTCATCATATTTGCATCCGATGGCCTCTGGGAGCACTTTACCAACCAAGAAGCAGTTGATCTCGTCCAAAATAGTCCACGCAATGTAAGACAAACAATCACATACATTCATATTTTTTCTAATTTCAACTGTATGTTTCTTATGGCTAGTAGCTAAAAAGCTTAAGTTTGGGCATATGTAATGAGTGAATTGCAAATACCCACTCGACATTTTCTTCTCTTTTATGAATTGCATTCTCGACAGGCAAGGGATATTTGTTTTTGTTTTTGTTTTTTTTTTCCACAAAACCAATTAACTATTTCTACTCATTTTTTAATAGTATGAGAAAACAATTATAAAAAAAAAATCCCCTTCATGAATTAACATAACATGAACACTATA